CCGAGGATAAACCGGTGATACGTTATAACTAGTTAGAGGAATTCTGAAAGCCGGCAAATGGTGGTGATTGGCGCTGGTAACGTTTTATGACGTCCACCTTTTTATAGATACCGTATGCAACGTGCACCAATTTCGTGGCCTACATATTCTAAGTGTGAAACCACTAAGTTACATTTTCGGTTGGGTGAAACAAAGAGAGTATTTTGTGAGAGGAGATGTTTCAAAAACCATATTAATTTTATATGTGTTTGTTGGGGTCATAAGTGAAGACTAGATACCTTATGAGAATATCAATTAATTGTTTCAATGTTTGGGCGAAATTTCTCACTCAAAATGGCACTTTGGAACTCTAAAGACCAAACGGCGAGATGATTTCTGTCTTTGGGCTGTCCTTTTGCTTAACTTGAGAGGGGACAACTGGAGGACGTTCTACTGCCGTCTGATTTTATGTTCACGGAGTGACTAGGAAATGCAAACATCCTGCTGCACGGCATTGAAACTGGTGACGCACAGCCCTGGAACTGCAGTCCGTGCACGATCAGCTTGTAGAGAAGAACGCTCCTGGGCACATTTCTCCTTGAAATGACTCATAGTGGTGCAGGAGGTAAGTCAAAGATACATTGAGCATTTCCTGTGGTTGTTACTCCAAGAAACTACGAGACATGTCCTTGCTCTGTGTAGACTACCAACGGCTTAACGACGTGTCTGTAAGGAACAGATACCCTTTCACTAGCATACCGTCTGAAATGGACGCGCTCGTTAACACGACCCTGTTCACAACGATACGGCATGAACACTTTCCATGTACTTGAGAGCCAGCATCGTGAGAACTCATATATGCAAAACTGAGTGGGGTAGCGTGGAGACACCCCGGGGCCCGGCGTTTTGCGGCGCCACTTGACAGTCACCGCCGTTGCGCTTCCCCCGCGCACTCCCTGGGGTTTGAGCGTAACCCAACCTCAGGCTGCTCGCGGTGGAAGAGCAACGTAGAGTTCCTACGCCAGCCAGAATTGTGTATTCAGCCCCGCCGGGTGGCCGTAGCACCGCCTTTCCTGCACTGTCCTAGATACTTTGCTCGTCACGTGACTGAATTCAGCGAATACTGGCGCCACGCGTGAAGAATAGGAAAGGATGAAAAGGCAAAAGAAGAGCAAAATACGCCTGGGCACGTGCACCGCCGGCAAAGCGACGGTACTGGTGGCTTTCCTGCACGACGTTGAATTTTTTTGCACCTCACACGATCGAGCTCGGCGAATATCGGCGCGGCGCCATGCGGAAAACAGACGCGCAACATTGGCTCCCGTAGGCAGCCTATACAGGAACCGTAGCGCAACGCTGGCGCGACCAGTGCACGAGTTAAGGGGGCCTTGTCCCTCACTACGGATATAATAGGACATCGCCATAAGTGCCCAGGGGGCTTCTGGGCTTAAGCCAGTCATGGGCAGTTGCACGACGCATACTTAGCGTTCCATTAATCGTCCCGTCCACCTAACATTAAATATCATTCATTGTTTTTTAAACCCCTGGCTCCGCGACGTTAGTCTAGGTTAGACATACGCAGCAAGGAAACTTTCGCACTGTTTGCACTTTAAACTCGTCGTATGCCTATTGTATTGTCAACGAAGTCGCCAGCCGCAATTGGAGTAAACATTTTGGGTATCTGGCGCCTCTTCCCGCCAGAAGAAATTTGCTGACACCTTGCGGAGCAGAAAGGCCCGAAGGCTACTCGAAGGAATAACGATTCCCAACTCCAAAATGTTTTCGAATGGGGTCTTCCCTATTCTAACTCCTTCGGCATCTAGTTGACGTGGTTGAACTTGGATCGTCTTTATGTGATCAGTCACTTTGTGTAGAACTTGTTTTTCAAAGCTGTTAGGGTAGGTATTATACTTGGCATGGATGGGCAGTATCTCAAATACAAGTATTTGAAATACGTATTTCAAATGGTTTGTGTATTTTGAATTTGTATTTAATTACAAATTGCGTAATGTATTTGACGTGTGTATTTAAATACTAAAACGTTGGTATTTCCAATACAAGTGTAAATAAATACACTTTTGTGGGCGAAAATACATCCCTCAAATTTAATGTCACTGCCCAGAGCAGGAAGAATACTACGTTCTGCAGCGAATGCAATATCTCTCAATCAAGCACAGGCGTTTTGTGACTTTGTGATCACGGTGCTAGTCCAGGGCAAGAATAGTGACGAAATTGACGTTCACAGGCATACTGGCTAAATAAGTGCCTGTGACAACTTGTGTTGCTTTCCAGCCTGATTTCCATCCATATTTTGCCTGGAACGTTCTAAATGCGCGGGTCGTCCAGACTTTTGTAACTGGCGCGAGTTGCAACAATAAAAAATTCTCTAGCTAGTGCTACGCGTCTTGGTCGTCTCGGTTCTTTGTTGGTCTATACCAAAATGTAATCGACAAGAAAGTTGCTTGAACCTCTGTACCTTTTTAGCTATTACGTCCAAGCTGATTACATTTTTTTGTGATTATATTTCTATTACGTTACTAGAGCCTCGCACACTAACTCCCGAATGTGCAATGCAAAGTTAAAATGAGATACCCAGAAACCCGTTGCAGGTGCCCTGAAGTCGCTGACGCAAATTTTAAGGAATGTATTTGGGAAAGTATTTGGAGGAGACCAAATGCATTTGGTTGTATTTGTATCTTGTATTTAAATGCTTTTTTGGAAATGTAATTAGATTTGTAATTAAATACATTTTTGACGAAATATTTTGTATTTGTATTTCGATACATATTTGCATGTATTTTGCCCATCACTGATACTTGCAAACTGTAAAGAGGAGGCTTAGGTTGGTTTGGACGAGGGGACAATGGAAGTGGGGATGCCATTGTCAATGCCGGAACTGTCACATGGGTCTTGTCAGTAACAATGCGGAGAGTGAGCTCTACCAAGAGTAGGCAATTGTTCAAAGCACTGCTCGAGGAATCCGGTGAGACCCAAGAGCGATCAAATAAACCTATTTGTCGGTTCGTCGATGCCCGATATTGAGGGTTAGGCAATATTTTTCATACGGTGGAAAGGTTATGCTGTGTTCGAGTTTATTTGGGTACCTCTAGTGTTAGTAAGCTTGAGTAAAATGGGACACATTCTTTACCAATATTGTACCACGGCCGCTTGAACCGTCTCACCTCATCAACAAGAAAACAACGAGAAATAATCAGCCCCCATGACAGCAACAGGTACTTTGGATCCACGAATCCACCTCTAACAACTGTGATAACCAAGTCATGCGTCTCGCTAAAGACCTAGTCGCAGCCGCATTGTTTTTTGAAAGCGTTCCAAGCTGGTAATAGTTTTAAAAAGCTTGTGAATTTAGGTATGACAGTTTAATATTGGTACCAATACTACGAATAGATAAATAAATATGCACATTACGTTAACTAGCGTGTGTTGTGAATCTTCATACCTGCGCAGCGATTGAACTTCAGTTGACAATTTTTTTTATTTCACTATATTAGTCTATGACTCTAGAGCCAGCTCCTCTCAAAGGGCCTTTAAATGTTTACTGTTCTAAGAGGCTTCGTAAATCCGAGGCAATAACACTTAGTACCAACGTTACTAAAACACCCAGTTGGGAAACTCCCATAGAGACAGCTTTCAAAAAGTGGCCCCAAACTGTCTCCGAGCACCGAGCTAATGACGAACACAATGCCACCATTTCTCCCGCAGCGGCCACTCGAGGAACTGCACGTGACTTCTATTTTGGCTTTAAGAACAAATACAGCGGAAGAGGCTACGTGCCACCCCCGTCTCCCCGGCGGACGCGCCGCGTTGAGCTATCGCAGTTAAAATGCACCTAGGGCGGGACGTGCTACCTGAAAGGTCCGCTGAGGCATGGTTGTATAAAAACAATATTAATTGAGCCGCAAAACCCTGCAAACTAAAGATTTTAAAAACATAGCGCGCCCCTCTTTTGGTACTAAACTCCAATAAATTTCATTCAAAAGGAGTCTTTTTCGTTTGTTTTTACGCAAGAACAGGCTTTCAAAAAGCTCAATGTGACCACAGTACAGACAAATGATAAAGAGTGGCACTGTTGTCGCATTTAGCTCGGTCTCGGTGGACGCCAGCGGCCCAGGTTTCGACGGCGAGTTTCCCAACTGAGTGTTTTAGTAACGTTGCTTAGTACGTACTTAGAATTCACAATTAATGGAGACAAACCTAGAGCTCCACAAACTGCGCGTATTATATTCTTGTTTATCTTTAAATCCATATTGTTTTAGTTATATGCTCAGACTACTTGGTCGGCAGACGAAGATAAATACAAACATCACTTCGCGATTTACCGGGGGGATTAGCTTCACTCGACTGAACAAAACATTTTCGGTTCATAAAACCTCAGCATGTTTTATTCATCACTAATATCATATTCAAACTAGAAAATCACATTAGAAAAATGCTGGTATGTTAAACAAAGTAATTCATAAGCACTATATTATAATTCGCTTATATTTATCACTGACTAAAAGTATGCTTTAAATACTATTAAGGAAAGTTCAAAATAGGGAACATCTCGCTACAAGTATTTTCAATCCTTCACTTTTCCACAAGTTAGGTTTACTAAAAAAACAAGCCCATGGCAAATTCATAAAACTATAAAAACGGCCCCCCGAAATTCCATACGGAAACTTTTTTTCTGATTTCCAATTGGAAAAATGTTATTCGGGGCGATTTTATTTGTGGTTTTTCTTTCCGGATGTAATATGTTCAGATATCCCATTTCCTTGCCTAAATGCAAATAATATTTGAACTATATTTATCTAAACTTTTCCTTTGAGTGCCTGATATCTTCGTGACGCCTAGAGACAGTGGATACAAACACGTTTCATAATGTATCGTACACGTTCTGACTTAACGTCATTGCTGCCTACACAATTAAAAAGTAATTGAAATTTAATTACTCGTTCCTTCCCTCAAAAAGTTTCTAAGTAGTTAAGGAATTCGTTGTTTGCATGTCTAATACAGACCTCAACGTGATCCAGCGGCGTTCCAACCGTCCGAATCCAAAGGTCTGTGGGTTCGTCAGGATTCGTGCTGCTGAAGGCAGGACTGGTCTCGGAGGAACCGAACAAGATCTGAGAGCATTCACCATTCACAGGCATAAATGATGGATCCCATAAGATTCGAAATCATTTTCCAGTAAGAAAACCACTAGAAAACAGCTTACGTACGTATATACTTGGGGCGTTCATCCTTGTTCTAATCATTTCCACAATTGCAGGAGTGGCTAAGGAGCCGGCCATGGCTGCTATAAATAAAAAAGATATAGCAAACGTCACAGACCGGCCAAGATTCAGGTTCTAGTTCACGTGACGTCAATTTCCGTGATAAATCTAGCAGACAAATTTAATCTAGTCAAAGGCGAACTGACCAGAAATCATGTGGCGTCATTTTACTCGGTAAATTTAGCAGGAAATTGAATTGCTGTTGAGGTCGAGTGACGTCAATTTCGTCACTAAGTCTAGCGGAGAAACTGAATTCGTTCAGAGAAGACGTGAGAGGAAGTCATGTGACGGCAGTTTTCCCGCTATAAATAGCGAAGAGACAGAATTGGTGTTGATGTCACGTGACGTCAATGTTTGCGCTAAATGCAGCGCGGTTACGCCGACGCCGGCGCAGACGCAGACGCCGACGCCGCGAAACCCGGTAACGGTATCCTAAGGCTGCGCTTTAAAGTATGATACCCTAGTATTAGCATTGAAAGCTACGATACCCACCCTTGTCGGTCGACGAGTATACGGAGTGTGTCGCCTATAAAATAAGATCGCAAATAAGCCCTTGAATATAAAGCCCTGCCTTGACCAAAGTTGCTGCTCAGAATATAACGGTACACGCGTTTAGATCGGGATGGCCGCGCATGTGAGGCATCCACATAAACATTTAAAGGCCGCACATGTATGCAGGGGGAATTTTAATATTTTGATTCACATTCTTACATAATTACTTTATTACAAAATTAAAATTACCAGAGAGACTAGTGGAGACGTTTCCACATTGCGGTTTGTTTTTTCAGTGTTCTCTTTTGTCACTAAGCTCTTCCCTCGCTGTTCTCTTCCTAGATTGTCCTCTTTTGGCGAGTATATTTTAAGCTTCAACTTTTTCATGCGAGCTGTTTTGTGATGATATTTCCCACCATGCCACAGACTTCACCTACTCTAAATGAAATAGTAGACGCAAATATAAGTATAGATATCTGTCGACGGCGTTCACTGATTGTGGTGTAGTTTTAGTCAGGGATAAGCGCTTTCCTAATGTAGTTGAGTATTCTGTACCAATCTGTCGTGAGCTTACCAAGATAACACAAAACGACCACTGAAAACCCGAATATTGATGGAAAATCATTCCAAGAAATCTCTCTAAAAATATCAAGCCTATTTTTAGATAACGAAAACAAATATTTCCGGGAAGCTTGATTTGAAACACCCTTCCGAATCTACGAGTTAGGTGGCAACCTGGTGCACCCCTTTCTATTTGGATGACTTAAAACAGAAAATGTCGCTAACTTTTTCTCTTTCCTTCTCGTCGTTCATGAGGACGTGCACATCCCATGGGGCCAACCGCGAAAGTATTCCAGGAGACGTTTCTTCACGCGCAGACATCGTGTCACTTTTCTGCGCTTCTTTTTTAAGCAGTGTATGGTAGTCTGCCTAAAGCGGTTTTTAAAAAGGTAATGTTAAAATAAAACTTTAGCAGCCATTGGTGAGCGACGTAAGGGGTGATGCCGTATAGGTTATGCCCAGTACAGCCGCAATATTGAAATTGTGAAGAAAAACGTTGTAGAGCCTTAAAAGTTGCCGTAAAAAGCTTATTTAATAAATGGCAATAATAAATATTACGGACATGCAACTTGTGACAAGCATTAACGTTTTGAAAAATGTCTTTGCCAATTGCGTCACAAAAGGAAGTGAAGAGGAGCGCAAATTGGGGGGAGAGGGCAGGGGGGAGGACAGCAATATTGACGGGCTTTCAGTCTCCTGAAGGACCTGATGGTGATGATCTCTTGTGTGTGTGTGTGTGTGTGTGTGCGTGTTTCAAGTCTTTTCTAAACCGTTTGAGACGGTAAAACAATATCGATCTCGGGACTGTCAGCGGCTCTTTATTCCCTCTCTACATATGCACACTTAACTGCGGACACGCTAAGCCACAGTCAGCCCACCATATATGCGGCCAAACGTTTGGGGCTACGCTGTCAAAACTATCGGCGCCCTTTCGCTTGAGCTTCTTGACACCCTCCAAAGCAGTGAACGCGCACTCACCACTTCTGAAATAGCTGTCCGAAAGTATAGTGCGCTAAAGGTGGCGCCACGTAAACGAAGTTACGTCTGAGCCAACTGCGGTTACGGGTGCCCGTGTAACAGGGGTAGTAAAGATATCTGACTGTCACGGAGCTTAGTTCGCTGCGTCCCAGCGAAAAACCTCCTAGAACCGGAGGTCCTAGTCGTGGATATTCGGCCTGAAGTAACGAAGCCGAACAATTGACCCCGATTGGACACGTGTAAAGCGGTAGCGGTTGGCCAGGACCGCGATTGATTATGAGTCGAACGTCGACGGTGCGCTCAGGTTCAAATTGATCCTCTCTTTGGCCCCCGGCAGGCGACGCAAAAAATATCCAGCACTCTGGAATTTTAGTTTATGATGTGTTTAAAATCACAGAGGAAAAAAAAGACGCTGAAGTATTCAAGCATGCTTTTAACGAGACCCTATCTGCAGTTTGCGTGCGGTGAAAATCTCGTTTCATTGGAGTGCTTGATATATTTTATATATTTAGATATTCGTTCAATTTGTGGAGGCTTTATCACAGTGTGTTAGAGCTTTTTCTCCCACGGTGATTGTCACAGAAGGTTGCAAATGCGATCCTGTAACTTTTACTTATGCTGTCATTGCAAGAGCTGTCAGAGGATGAGTCCAGATGAGGTGCTAAGCTGGTAGAAACTGTGTAAGAGGAGGGGAAACGTTCACGCGGGGGTGCTAGGGAGCCGAGTTCTGATGGAATGGTTAGTTCTTCAAACGTGTTCGAAAGTGGAGGCAAAGGCAGCTAACTGTGTGCCTAAAACTACGTGTAATCGTTACTTGTTACAGTCAGAAATCCCGCTCAAACGTGCCTTCGAATTGTCGTATCCTCGTCTCCTTCAATTGCCACTGGTATAGAAAGCAAATATTTGCCCTTTTCGAGGGTATACACTAAGTTATAGTAGGAGACGAGAGGGCGCTGGGGCGTTAGATTTAAATAAAATTTGACAATATTTGATTCTGAGGTTTTTCAAATTAATACATTCAAGCGCCAGCACTCTCATAGTTCAATTGGTTGACGAGAGTGGCAACCCCGTTGAGGAAAAACTGTGCTTCCATTTTCTACTTACGAGAGCTCCCTAAACTTGCCCGTGCTTCCAGAAAACATGATTGCGCTTTGAATACAGGGACATAGGAAGAACAGACACCACAGAACGCTAACCTAACCTAACCTAACCTAACCTAACCTAACTTAGCCTAACCTAACCTAACCTAACCTAACCTAACCTAACCTAACCTAACGTAGCCTAACCTAACCTAACCTAACCTAACCTAACCTAACCTAACTTAGCCTAACCTAACCTAACCTAACCTAACCTAACCTAACCTAACTTAGTCTAACCTAACCTAACCTAACCTAACCTAACCTAACCTAACTTAGCCTAACCTAACCTAACCTAACCTAACCTAACCTAACGTACCATACCAACTTGCCCTACAATCAGCACGTGCTTCCAGCTTTCCAGTACGAGCATAGGGACCCTCTCTGCGTTTCATCTGCCGGTGTTACCCCTCTGGGCCCTCTCATCGAAGGGACGAAGCTTTCTTTATCCTCAGGGCCAAATAACATCAACAAAATTTCAAAAAATACGAACACGGTATCCGATAATTTTAAGCTAATTTTTAATCATTCGCTATCCATAGGTTACCTTGCTTCCGAGTGTAAAATCGGTAAGATCGTTCCGCTCCCCAAAAACGGAGATCGCCCCTCAATTCCAACTATCGTTCCATTTCACTAAATTCAGTTTCATCGAAACTTCTCGAACATTATATCTGCTCTCGCATAATGTATTTTTTTAGATTGCAATACCTTATTCTACAAAGACCAACAAGGTTTTCGTCGAGGCTATTCATGTGACACACAGCTGGTCGAATTTACGCGAGACATTCATTGCCTTCTTCAAACTCGGAACGAAACTGGCCCAATATCTTTAGTCTTTTCAAAGCCGTTTGACCATGCAACACATATCTGGCTAAGTTGAAATACAATCTCGTCTTGATTTAGAAGGAAAAGCTTTATAGTGGATATGCAGTTGCCTTGCTTCTCGAATGCAGTACATAGTCTTAAAAGGGCATGCATCTAAATTTCTCAATGTCACCTCAAATGTGCCTCAAGGCACAGTTCTTGTTCCTCTTTTCTTAACATTCATAGGGACCAACCACATTGTATTTATTCTAACTTATGTAGTTTTTAGACAACTGTGTAGCTGTATCGCGAAATCACTTCACCCAGTGATCAGACTCTTTTTAAACCGCTAGTACGAGTTTCCAAATTATACAACAACTGACAGTTGCCATTCGATAAATTAAAGTTTGCACTAATTCGCTTTTCTTGGAAGAAAGCAACCTATTCCTTTTATTACATGTTAGATGACAAGAATTATGAGAAAGTCGATGAGTACAAATATATCCGTGTCGTACTCAAATCTGATCTCACAAGGAGTAGCCACATCAAGGGTATTTTCTGTGACACAGCAAGGACCTTTGGGTATATCCGGCGTTTTCTGAGTGCTGCTCCTTCAAAACTTAGGAAGCTTGCCTACAAAACTTTCGCTCGACTAAGTTAGACTACTCTGTCGCAATCTTGAATCCTCCCTAAAATTGCTTATTCACTAAACTTGAAGCAGTTAAAGCCGAGCGACCCGCTACATTTCCTCTAACTACGATTATACATCCAGTGTCTCTTCTATAGAAATAAGCCTAAATTTATCTATTTTCGAGGCAAGTCGCACGATAGCACAATCTTTGCTTACTTTATAAGACTTATCATTGTCATCCAGTGGTTAGAAGTTCATTCTTGCTAAATCCCACGCTGCCATCTCGTCGTCTCAATAACTCCCGAAATTTTAAACGAAGATCCGGTTCGAGTAACGAATTCAACGAAATATTTCTACCGATGTTAATTGTGGACTGGAACGGTCTTCCAGAATCTACCATGTTAATCACTATCCCTGTGGTTTTTGAGAGTTCTATCATCCTGCATTTTCGCTCTACTTATTAGGTTTCCAGTGTTGCTACTTCTCAGATTTCATAGGCGGTAAAAGTGCGCTGTTCATTTGTTGTTGTTGTTGTGTTTTGTGTTTCCAAATTTCATTGTATAATTTCTAGAGTGGCCTCCTTCTTATCTAAGGATCTCACACGAAAGCTTTTGAGGAAAAATAAATAAAAGAATGAACATCAAGTCAAACAAGCTCGGTTTGAAATGATCAGTGGGTAGACATATGATTGGCTGCCTTGTTTAAACAGGTCGGTTTTCTGACGTCCTCACCCTCTCATCTCCTTCTCTTCCTCAGATTCTACCCAAGTATACTTTATTTCACTTTGAATCCAGACGCAGTCGACGCTACGAGCTCCTGAGTCCGATGAAACATCGTCAAAAGCGCAGCATCTGTTGTTCGTGAAGTTTCTGTACGAGTTCTGACATCGCTGAACCAATCATAAGCATAACAGACTCGGTGATTTGCGTTTTTGACGCTGCCTGGATTGTTTCATTACATAGTAGAGTCCGATGCGTCTGGACATAAGGGACTCTGAAGAGGTTCTTAAGCTCGAACCGCAAGTGAAAGTTGTAATGGAGATACCTTACGAATTGTGTGTCTTAGTTTCTTAAGTTGTTTTTTTTTCGATGTTATTAGTACGTGTGTCGTAAGAGCCAATTGAAATTTAGACGTAGACCTGCCCGTTCCTACACGGCGAGAGTAGAAAGGTGCGAGAGCGGAGAGAAATGCTAGCGGAAGTGACGTCGTCAGCGGGGTTTGATGACCCCTGCTCGCCACTAAGATGTCTCGGGGATGCGTTTGATGACGTCACGACGCCCTGGCAAGATGAGAGGCAGCGATTTCTGCGTGCCCGGAGACAATCGCTGAATGTATTTTGTTTTCTCAAAATAAGTGCGCTTTACGTTTACTTTTACCAACGATGATTGTGATGATTGAATTCACTGGACAAAAAGCTATAGAAGTACCTACTAACTCAGATTTCTTGAAAAGTACATCAACTTCCTTTTACACTGAACGTAGTATAGTATCCACAGTTTAAAACCGACCCGAAACGAGCAATGTCGGAGATTGTGACGTCAGTAATTTAATAATTGGAAGTTTCGTACCTTTTCTAATGGAAGACACGTCGTATGCTCCTTCGTCAAGATGACCAAACAATGAGTAGAAAAGAGGTGTTGAACCGTAGATCGTCGTGCATCTGGAATATCAAGTTTGTTTTGATGACAGTGTCTGGAATAATAAATTGTATATTGTGTTTCTTGGCCCATAGGGCAGATTTATAATCCACCCGAGTCAAACAAGAGTTAAGGGTTCGTTCAAGTACATCATAACTGATACTGAAGAAAGGCGGCGACCCTCTCGGCGAGGGATGAAGTCGCATTCGAGACGAACATTTGTTTTGAGGTCTAATTTCAAGTTTCAAATCTTCAATGAAAGACGAAGCGAATCTGAACGTGGGAGGAGGGCGTAGGGAAAAGGCGAGCGATGTTCAAAACCAACAAGGCAAGAGTCGGAAAAGCATACGACGCAGGCAAGCTGGTAAACGTACTGAACAATAAAGGCTGAGTCCAGAAAGAAATAAGGTGGTCACCCACCTTATTTTTTTTTTACTAAGCTTTATTGTGATCTAATACGCCTTCAGTTAGAACATAATCACATTTTTATGTTACTATATATTATAATATACATGAGGTCGTTTACTTCAATTTTCCATTTGTTTTGCATTTATTAGATTATTATGAATAAAAAAAACTGCGGAAATGGTGCACCTTAATAATTATAAAATTATCCTCCATCGCTCAGAACGAAAATACAAAATCCAAATCGTATCCTTTTTTTTGTTCTGTCACCGATAAACTAACTACAAGTCCACCAATTCTTCGTCTAAATGCGGCCTGTTTAAACAAATACTTGGGCTTTTTCTCTATTGCCGCCCATTTGCTTGAAAATTTATTAAACACTCCAACAAACATAGTTGAAATTGTGACCCAAATATTGGGCAAAATCACCATTTTAGTCCTCAATGCATTTCTCAAAGTGGGAATCTTTACAGGAAACAAAAGAAAAGTGACGTCAACGGAACGTAGCGGTTCAGTCTTCGGTCTGTAGACTTTGTTCCCAACTGATCAGAAGCAGTTTCCTGGCATCAAATGAATCTTTTGGAAGGTCGCACCGGCACCCGTGCAGCACAACAGAAATGCTCGCCATTGTATGTTTTCAAACTGCCCGCTCGACTTGCACGCCTCTCTGTCAGTCACGCCACGGCATTAAAAATCACGGGTATATTTGGATGCGGGTTGTGGTATCTGATTTACTTGTCGACTTCACAATAACTATCTTGAATTTCGCAACGCTAGATAGCATCTTGAAAACCAAAAAGGTGATTCCGAAAATGTAGTTAATTGTTGTATCTAAAAAAAAATGAAAGGTGTTTGCAATTCTCAGTGATACCGAATTAGAGCGCAGCTCTTGAGGAGGAGGACGTGAGGCGAGGGTATGCCCGTGTGACGTCAAGAGGGTTACGTCACTCGTGACCCTCACGACGCTCGTGACGTCCCTTGTGACCCTCGTGACGTTACTCGTTACCCTCATGACGTCATTATGGGGAACTTCCATAATGCAACGCGCGGTTACGCCGACGGCGACGGTTTCAGCAACGCCGCTCAACCGGGAAACGGACGCCTAAAGGCTGAACTCCATGGGCCAAATATGCTGCGAAAAATTGACAAATTTTGCCCGGCGGCTTTTGCTCTGCCCGAGGGATCAGCACAGTGGCTGCTACGTCGCGCGCAAAGCGAGCGTGCCGTCGGGCGACGTTCACAGTTATTCGTTACATAATTCGCTCCATGGAGTTCAGCCTTAAGAGCTGCGCTCTAGAAAATCGCCCCGAGTACTCTTTAAAGCCCAACTGTGACCGGGAGAAAACTGTTTTAAGTCGGCGCACAGAACGTTTCCGAACGTTATTCTTTATCTGCTATGTTCCGGCGCAATCATGGTTATTCGGCTGTCTGGGGCAAGAAGAAAATTTGAAATTAAGCATCCCGCTAAAGCGAGCCTTGCTATGTTAAGTTTGGCTTCGGCAGCCTTTGTCTCAAGAATAAAAATCGGGGCGAAAAGTCCCATAATTTCTACCAATCCTTTTCATTTTCTTTGAATTCTACAAAAACTCGGCGGCGCAATCGGGCTGCATGGTTCATCATATAGAGCGTTCTCCAACATAAAGTGCCAGAACATGGTGAGGAAGGAAGTTCAGATGAAGAAAGAATATATATAAAACAGTTTCATATAAAGAGCACATTACACAAAGTAAAATGTGCTTTAACGAGGTTCGTACAATGCAAATTTCTTCGAAATGTTTTCTATATTGTCACGAATGACAATTGATGAGCCGACGAAACCTGAAACGAACTAAACGTTTAATGGGGCGAACTTGTGTACTAAACAAAAATAAAAGAAAGCTAGCATCGCAGGCGCCGCTAGCGCCGTTAAAGCAGGATTGAGCGCTGGAACGAGACGGACTCCGGCTCGCCATGCGGAGTTCCGATGTACACGCGTTGGCTTCTGAAACGATCGGCGTAGAAATTTCGGGGCATAGAACATTCTAATCTCGAAGAAGCAACAGGTTTTTTGCATTCGCCAGAACGCGACATTTACAGAAACAATAAAAAGATGCATCTGCAGCCAGGAATCGAACCTCGGCTCTTTGCGTAGGAACCAAGCACGATAACCGCTAAACCACGGCCGCGCTGCCTACCTGGCCAGCTGCACCCGCGGCAATATCATCCTTAATAAAATAAGAGATTATAAAATTAGCTCGAGGTAAAATAATTTGTGGAGGAACAGTTGTGTATTAAAAAAGGATCCACTTCCATGTTCGTTTGGAGTGCACAATTAATTAACCTAGTTCAAAGGATTACATATATTTCCAAAATGCTTTATTTGTTTAATATGCATTGATCTAGTCTGCAGGGTGATTCCACGTCTGTTCGTGCAATAATGGTCCGGGTCATATTTCTGATATTTGTGTTAAAAATATATATGAAAGCCATGTTCTTGGGAGGAATACTCAGCTATGTATAAACGCCGGAACATTTTTTTTTTTTTTTTTTTTTGATGAGATATGAAATATAGAAGCTCGAGGTGTGGAAATTAAGAAGTTTTCTCACGATGCTACTTTGCAAAGTCTTAATTTTCTCATCGAGGCTTTCACGTCACCATAACTTTTTAAATACATTTTACAGTAGATGTGCAACGCATGCACAACAAATTAGAAATATTAATCAAATATTTTATGCAAACAAAATATTCAAACATGGCATAAAATCGCGTTTTAGAGAGATATTCACTTTTTGTTTTGCAAATAAACCGTCATTCATAATACTTTACGAAACATATCGATATGCCGTCTTTAAAGGTTTCTTTACGAATATATCAAAATAATATGCCCACCTTTAATTTTCTTCTTGTTATTAACGCAGAAATGCGGCTGATTTCTCCGAATCAGTGATGTACACGTTCCTCAAAAAAGGAACGAAAGCTCGTTCCTAGTTCCTTCTGATTTTTGGAACGCGTTCCCGTTATGAGTTCCATCGGTTAAAAAGGAACTCATTCCCGTTACAGTGCAAAAAATGGAATGTATCGTTACATATACGTTACATTTGTATTTTGTTAATTACCATATTTAGTTAAATCACGCAAAGATTGTTTTCTTCTTTCTTCTATCACATCAATACGCAACATACGAGTTTGTCGCGATGGAAGGGCACCAGAAAAAGAAAACAAGCGGAAGCAGGGTTTTATTTGTTGATATATTCTAGGTAAAAATCTCAGCTTTTAACGATATTCATGTTTGTAGTGGACGATTGAGACGAGCCAAATGTACCCACATTGCACCAGCGTTTCATAACAACCTCACACGTTTCAAGCTAACAAAGTTCCTTATCAGAGCTTAACAACAGTTGCTTCTCGATGTTGCTGTCCGCAAGACGAGCAAGCGCAGGAGAGGGTAGACATTTTTGAAGGTCAGTCTTGAAAGCTACAAATACTTCTTTGCGAAGGTTGGATTTGTTGTTCAGTTTGAAGGTCGGGGACAAGAGAAGGAATAAAGGTTATTTTTGTGTATTTTTTAGGTAAGCTTCATCTCTTATTTTTTTTAAACTCCACTTGGCACTTTGCAGTGCCTTGAACTAGCTTGTGATGGCGAAACATTGAGTAACGTATGAACTCCAAACGAGGAAAGGTACGACAAACCTTCACTCGGAGCGAGCCGACGTCTTCGTCATAGCAGTTTTGCCGAACAGCACTTAACTTTTTGAGCGTTAGTTATGGGATGTCTTTTATATTTTCCAAATCATTTTGTTTCTAATGGGTTGAATATAACTGACGCGAAAAGGGACTTTGAGCTCGAATACCATTAATTAACTGCCGATTCACAAAAACAAAACGGCCCCATTCTGTAAAATAGCCAACTATGCATACGTAAACTTAAAACTCTCAGTTACGCAAGTGGCCATGTAAACATCCGGCTTTTCCAACCGCACTCAACAAAGTGCGGTTAGAAAAGCTACTGGCTCCACGAACAGTCAACGAATCTGACCTTTTATGTTAGCATTACTACAAATACCTCAAGAATGAGGCTGCTTCTCCTCACAACGTGAGTTCATCAAACTCTTCTTTAGGGACTCTGATGAAATTCTGGCTGGAGTAAGTCAAGACTTGTGTGCTGCTAGTCTGTCGGTAACCCCATTGAAACCACGTAAAACCATCTTTAAAAAAAGGCGCAAAGCATATTTGCAGAAAAAACAAGCTCAAGTGAGTTCTTCGATTAGAAGAAACCTGTCAAGCGTTTATGATGTGAAAACCGGCGAAAACAGTTGTGAGCACTACACGGAGTGGTTTGACGCGTTCCGAGAAGCGCTGAAGACATGCAGTTCTCAAATTCATAAAATCAATAATGAGAACTATTTTCGGCTCCCCTCATTGTCGGACTGATCTTCCATCGCCTGCGAATGGCGAAGGTAAGGTGGAATTGCGATAATAACAGCTGTTTTTACCAGCGCAAAAGGGTGATATCTTTTCTCAATTTTCAGATCCCACTTAAAAAAAGGATTAGCGCCGAGTATGATTTCTGAAGTTTTGTATGGAGCAGCGCGGTAAGGTGACATTGAACAGAGAGTAAGGACAATTGTTTTACACGAT